CAAGCGTGAGAGCAAGAACAGGGTCTGAAGAAATAAGAAAAAAGTGTGAGTTCAAAATCCCACTTAGAGGCATTATTCAATTTCATTTATATGGACTGAATCAAAATTCACCATTGTTAGGTTTTTGAGTTTGGTTTTAGGGTTTTCGTTTTCAGGTACAATTAGCCTTCAAAAGGGGTATGGTTGTGATCAGGAAGACGAGACGGACACAACCATGGCTTTAGATTTTATTTCTATGGCCTGTAGAGGATTTTGGAAATACACAGGTTTGTAGCAACAAACATTTGTACGTGGGTATAGCTGTTTCAGGTTTTAGCCACGGTGCAGGGAAGAAGAAGCATACGTGGATCCATCTGATTCGCCTATTCAAATATTTGCGCGCATTTTTTATTTGCTTTCCAATTTTCTTTTGTTTTATATATTATTTTCAGCGTTTGATTAATGAACAATAAGAACAACATAGCCCAGTGGTTACCAGGTGGACGTTCAAGGCGTGGGAGGCTGGAGGTCAGGGGTTCGATCCCTGCCTTCAGCATTTGTTATTTTTCCTAATTATTGCAGGTGATCCAATGCATGCTTAAGCTTGATGATCATCATACTCCTTCAGCATCAACGCGCCAGACGGCCAGATGGCCAGATTTGGTGGCTACTACTGAGGGTGCACCAAAGGGCCAGTCAATGCACATGCGCAAGATCCAGAAAGTCAAATGGACCTTCTCCAATTGGGCCAGAATTCTTGCTATTGGCACACCACTTTCAGGCCCATCTCCCTCTTTTTTTTTTATATATTTTGTTTATTTCCATTTAATTATTTATTTATTTATTTACTTAACCAAAAATTATTTTCTTTTTATCAAAAAATCACCAAAAATATTTTTCTATCCAATTAAAATTTAGAATTTTATTTTTCATCAATAAATATTAATTAAAATAATTAGGTTATTTATGTTAGATAACTTTAATTGATTTTTTTAAATATTTAAAATTAATTAGAATCAATAGGTTTTAACACTAATTTAATTATTTTTAGTTCTTTTCTAAAATAATCAAAAAAACCAAAAATATGTCATTTAATTATTTTTCATTAATTAATTTAATAACTAATTAATTTAGCATTTAATTTTAGGATTTAACTTCTTTTCTTAAAAAAAATATTATTAAAACAACAAAAACATTTTCTTTTAATTAGGAGGGTCAAAACCCTAGTTTCACATTCGATTCAAGTTTCTCGCGCGCTTTATTTTTTCAATTATTGTATCTGCTCCTGGTTTGTAATAATTAAATTAAGACATTTACTTTTACCGCTTTTATTTTCAAAGGGTTGTTTTTGGCGATGTAAATACCCGACGCCTTGTAATAGTTTAGTTTAAATTCCGCACCTTTAATTTTTGCAAATATTCAACTGTTAGATGTTTGATAATAGGGTTTGCATGACAAGAATGAATGAATAAATTTAAAACAGTTAGATCACCCTAAACATGTGCAAAGATAAAAATAACTGAAATTAACACACTCGCACATGCGCACTTCTAGGGTACACTCCCACTTGGTTGCCTTCGTACACGGTTATTGAGTATAGGTTGTTTTAGAGGTCGCCCTCTTGTCTAAAAGATTATAAGTTGCCTCGAAAAGGTTGCCTCGGATATCAGCCAAGAGCAGAGAGGCCTCAAAGACAATTTACTCAGCTCAGTATGATTGTGTTTGATTATTTTTGAAAAAAAAATATTTTTATATTAAAGATAAATAAAAGTTTTGATCAGTTTTTGAAAAAAAAAATTTAAAATGAAATTTATAAGATAAACAAACACAAGAGTTGTTTTTTTTATATATATTTCTAAAAACAAAATTTGAATTATTTATAATTTTAAAAATCTACAAGTAATAGGATCCATTGTGTTACTACAAAAAACATTAATCCAAAAGTATTGAACTACACCTTCTCCAACTAAGTACGATAAAGCGGGCCAAACAATTGAAAGGTGTAACAGACATTTGCAGGGCCCATCAATGGTTACCCAGTCAACTTCACCGTCACAGTAGCAGCTGTCATTCCCTTCATCGCAAACTCCACTCATACCAAACCCCACTTCACTTTCTCTTCTTCTCTGCGCAATAGTTAAATGGCACTTCAATGACTCTCTCTATATCACACAAAACCACAACCTCAATCTCCAAGCTTCCATTTTCAACCTTGTTTGCAGGTTCATCACTTCCTCATGGCCCCTACACTACCCTCACCGCCACCCAGTTTCTTCAGAGGCAACGAAATGGATGCCAAAGAAGAAGAGGAGGAGAGCAAATGTGCTTACCTTGTGGTAGCTCTATGCCCTTGTCTCGTTTGTTTCATTCTTCTCTTAATTGTTCTTTCCTTCATTCTTGTTTTCAAATTCCATTTCCTTTGTCACACACCTCTTCATTCATGGTTTTACAAGAAAAAGTGCTGATTTTTAAGTTACCCGTTTCTAGTTTTCAAGGAAAGTTTATGTTCTTGGATAATTATAGGTCGTTTGGTAGTGTTAGTGGGGTTGAATCTGATACTGAGGGTGATGTTGATAACGAGTCATGTGCAGATCCGGATGAGGTTGATAGGGTATGCAAGGTGATTGATGAATTGTTTGCTTTGGATAGGAACATGGAGGCGGTTCTAGATGAGTGTGGTGTTATGTTATCACATGATTTGGTTGTTGATGTGTTGCATCGGTTTAAACATGCTAGGAAGCCTGCTTTTAGGTTCTTTTGTTGGGCAGGGAAAATGCCTGGTTTTGAACATGATTCGAGGACGTATAACTCCATGATGAGTATTTTAGGGAAGACTAGACAATTTGAGACCATGGTGGCGTTGCTTGAGGAAATGGGTGAGAAGGGTTTTTTGACGATGGAAACTTTCTCGATTGCTATTAAAGCATTTGCGTCGGCTAAGGAGAGGAAAAAAGCTGTTGGGATCTTTGATATGATGAAGAAGTATAAGATTAAAGTCGGTGTTGATGCTGTTAATTTCTTGTTTGATAGTCTTGGTGCGGCGAAGCTTGTTAAAGAAGCGCAAGTTGTTTTTGAAAAGCTTAGAGATAGATTTGTTCCCAATTTACAAACTTATACCATACTTCTTAATGGTTGGTGCAAGGTTAGAAACTTGTTGGAAGCAGGGAGGGTGTGGAATGAGATGATTGATAAAGGTTTTATGCCGGATATTGTTGCGCATAATATTATGCTACAAGGGTTGTTAAAATGTCAGAAGAAGTCGGATAGCATTAAGTTATTTGAAGTCATGAAAGCAAAAGGTCCGTTGCCCGATGTTCGTAGTTATACGATTCTGATACAGGACTTGTGCAAACGAAATATGATGCAGGAAGCTGTTGATTATTTTAATGAAATGGTTGATCGCGGGTGTCAACCTGACGCGGCATTGTACACTTGTTTGATCACCGGGTTTGGGAGGCAGAGGAAAATGGATACGGTATACGATCTACTGAAGGAAATGCGCGAAAGAGGTTATCCACCTGACGGAAGGACATACAATGCTTTGATAAAACTGATGGTAAGCCAACACATGCCAGATGATGCAGTGAGAGTATACAAGAAAATGGTTCGAAGTGGCATCGAACCAACAATTCACACGTACAATATGATCATGAAATCCTATTTTGCAACAAAGAATTACGAGATGGGCCGAGCTGTTTGGGATGAGATGCGTCACAAGGGGTGTTGTCCTGATGATAACTCATACACGGTATTCATCGGCGGGCTTATAAGACAAGGCAGGCCAGATGAGGCATGCAATTATATTGAAGAAATGATGGAGAAAGGAATGAAAGCTCCTCAGCTTGATTATAACAAGTTTGGTGCTGATTTTTCAAAGTATGGGAATCCTGTCATACTCGAGGAGTTAGCTCGAAAGATGAATTTTGCTGGTAAGTTTGAAGTGTCTAATGTCTTAGCCAGTTGGGTTGATATGATGAAGAAAAACTCAAAGAGAACAGTGGCTACATAATCTTATAGGTAGTTTTTATGATTACTTTACTCGATTCATTTACTTGCAGGTTAGCAAAAACCCCTTGTGTCAATCATTTTCTTTGAAAAAATTATTATTAAGCTCTTTATTTTGTATATAGCTTTTGGTTGAAACTTATAAACCAGTGTTGTATAATGGCCTGTACTAGTTTGAATCAAGAATTTGATTTGAAAATTTTCTGGATATTTGTTCTTGTTTTACATTGCAACATTGTAATGTTATTAGAGCAGATACATATTCATGTATACAAAAAAATGCATTAAAACTGAAACCAAATCCATTGCAACAAAAGAAGCAATACAGGAGGATCTTCCTAATTCCAAATAAAATAATCAGAAATGTTTTTTCCAATAAGCATTTTAGGATAGGGTGTTTTTTTTTTCCAATAAGCAATAGAGGCTTGAGTGTTAGAAATTTAGAAATGTTTGATATAGCCTTCTAGAAATTTAGTTGAGATCTTTTGTGGAATACAATTCTGGTTTCAAAATATGAGAACTGGGATATTAATAGAGTGGTTATTGAGATACCTCAATGTATAAATTATGCTTTAAGATGTATCTCTACAATCTTTAAGGTGTTTAATATGGTCTTTAATCAAAATCTGTACACTAAGAATGTTCTAGTAAGAGGATTAATCATTTTGAAAACTCATTTTAAATTTCCAACAAAACTTCATAAGAATTAAAAAGAATCTGCTAAAGATGTTCATAACTCTAAGTTGGATTTGTGAGAACCCTGTGTACTTGGAAAATAATATCACGTTTACTTTAAATCTAGGGAGTATAGAATCAAGGGAACACTAGACTACATGCGATCTGATCACTGATTCTAATGAAATCTGGAGCCAAGATCATTTATAATGGAATGCTAGGCCATCATTCAAGTCTACTGGTTGAATACTATTTCTATTTCTAGGGACACCCTTGAGTTAGTGAGACAGATAAGTGAACCAGAGCCAGGTTCTAAATTTAATACAATTTGTGTTCATGTCATGATTGTTACGACAATAATATTTGGGGCAGTGTTTTGGCAAAAAGGGAAGGAAATGTAAGTTTGCTTTCATATACATGATATGGTTTGCACATAAACCAAACTCATTCATTTAAATCAGAAGATAACATTTGTCATTCCATGTTTCTTAGTGGTGTCGTGATTCTAGAGTAGCTTTTAGCCCAAGTATTAACATGTGTTTTTTTATGGTTAAGAAACACTCACCGGGATTTGTTCAATGTGTTTGGATCAATGTATATTGCCGAAATATTCTTGGGAATAAATTACTACTCAACAATTCTACCATATGTGACAATTGAGCGCTCCATCCTGTACCACGAAAAATTTGCAGAAATGTATTCTTCTATGGCTTATTCATTTGCACAGGTAAGATGCTGCTTAAAGCAAATTTAAGTGGTATTTATTTTATAATAAAACCAGTAATGTTATAATCTATGATCCAATTGTCTTATATGTGGCTATCATGTTATAATATGGATTTAGCTTCACTTCTGTCTACTGCAGTCTACACCATATTCATTCTCTTTTCTGGATTCCTCATTCTAGGACCTGTAAGCCTCTTCTTGATCTCCACAAGTTTCTTTTCATAATTTAATCTTTATAGTATAATATTTAGGACTTGAAGCTGTGGGCTTTTGTGTGTAGCTCTAATAGTCAAGTTTTTTTAATTACCTTGTATAGATTAGTGGTTCAAGAATGAAGATTGCTGGAAGATTCATTGTCATTTATTTTGTTGACTGGTATAGATGGTTAATTGTGGTGAAGATGTTACAAAGGTTGACACGAAGCCTGATGGCACTTGCCGTGTTAAGGCAAAGAGTGAAAGTGAATGTCTGGATTTAAGGAATCGAATCTTGGCTGATGACACTTTCCTGATCGATCCCTCTGTGCTTCTACTAATGGAGATATCAAAAGAGTAGAAACATTTGAGTAATGAAGTTGAGCTTTGGTTTAACAAGTTATCATGCGATTAGGGGTATGTCTAGAGCTATATAGAATCATGATGTACTTCAAACATTATTTCCACCAAAAATCGAATTCAATATTTCTTGAATCTTTGTTTCATAGTAGGAGTTTCTTTACCATTCAAGTCCAATTACTCGATTTATATCGATAATATTTTTTAATGGTTGAAAGTATATCTACCTCAAAAGAAGACATTAGTAAGTTTACTATTGGTCTACTATGCTCATGGGTCTTAAAATAATTAATAATACACGTGTGCTATATTATTATTAAATAAAACGTTATGGAAGAATACTATAGTAAGGACTAAGTTATTTCACATTTCAAAATAAACCTCATTTTAGTTTCATTTTAAGATTGTGTCAAAATTCTTTCATTTGACTTATTTCTATTTTTCTTAAACACTATTAAATATAAATACGTATTCTGTGATTTGACTTATTTATAACTATGTAGTATTAGTGTGTGAGACACTTTTATTGAGTGAGACACTTTTAGTGAGGGGAGAAAAAGAGAACGAATAAAAAATAAGGATTTTATTATAGAATTGAATTGTTACAAACTGATTTACAAACCAGTCTATTTATATACAACTAACTTATACACTAAGTAGGCTAACAAATCTTAACTGGACTTGAGCTTGGATTATACAACTTAGATTAGGTCTAATATCTCAACATATCCCTTATAGTCCAAGTTGTCGAACATGCTTTAAAAATAGTCAATCTAAATTATCCCTAATTTCTTTCTTAAATTCAAGAATCTATTGATATTCAATTCTTTGGTAAAAACGTCGGTCAACTGTGCTTCACTTGAGCAATGTCTAACTTCAAGTTCACCTTGATTTACCTTTTCCCTCAAGAAGTGAAATCTAGCTTCGATATGCTTATTTCTTCCATGCAAAATCAGATTCTTCGTCAGATTTATGGCTGACTTGTTGTCGATTTGTAACATAAGAGGTTTCTTCACTTCGACCTCCATTTCTTCAAGCACCGATCTGATCCAAATTACTTGACATACAACATAGGATCATGTTATATATTCATCTTCAAACGATGATAATACCACCACATGTTGCTTTTTCGAGCACCATGAGATTGGGGCACCAAAGATTTTAAAGAAATATCCAATTGTGCTTATTCGATATTTCTTATCTCCACACTAATCAACATCTGAAAAACAAGTAACTATTGCTTCTTTGCTTTCAGAGTCTCGTCGAAATAGAATTCCATTGTTTATCGATGCTTTTAAGTATATCAAAATTCTTCTTGTAACCTTCATGTGTGACACTCTTGGTTCACTCATGTATCTGCTCACTAATCCGACTGCGAAACCTATATCAGGTCGACTGTTGCACACATATCTCAGAGATCCGACAATTTATTTGAACAAAGTTACATCAACTTCGTCTTCCTCTACATGCTTCTCCAACTCCAAATTTGGTTCGACAGGTGAAGATGTTGGAGTCGAATCATCCATCCTAAATCTCTTGAGTATCTTTTTGACATAATTTCTTTGATGTAGCAACATTCATTGCTTCGACATTTGAAATTCCAGGCCTAGGAAATAAGACAATTTTCCCAGATCCAACATTTCAAATTCTCTCATCATTAGCTCTTTGAACTTCGACAAGTTCTCCAAGCTATTTCCAGTTACCAGCAAGTCATCGACATATAAGCAGATGATTGTTATATTTTGCGCCACAACCTGAACATAGACACCATGCTCAAATTTGCATTTAACGAATCCCAAATCGACTAAGTATGAGTTGATCTTCTTGTTCCATGCCCTGGGTGTCTTCCTGAGGCCATAGAGTGCTTTGTGTAACTTATGTACTTTACTTGCTTCCTTTTGAATCACAAACCCAGAAGGTTGTATGACATAGACCTCTTTGTCTAAAGGACCGTTCAAAAATGTTGATTTCACATCTAAATGAAATATCGACCAACCTTGCTTGTATGCCAAGGCTACCACTAGTCGAACAATCTCTAGTATTGCCACTAGAGCAGATACTTAAGAGTAGCTTAGTCCTACTCTCTGAAGAAATCCTTGAGCTACCAATCTTGCCTTATGTCTTGTTATCGACCCAACAAACATTGTATCTTAACTTGAACACCCAATTTACTTTGATAGCTTTTGTGTGTGCTGGAAATTCGACTAACTCCCATGTGTTATTTCTTTCGATTGTCTGTAACTCTTCGAACATAGCTAACTTCCATGATTTAATCTGTAAAGCCTCACTATAGTTTATTGATTCAGCACCTGCAAGTAAAGCAAAATGAACTAATTCTCCATCTGGTGTAACTTCATCATCATCAGTCACTTCATAGTCTTGAAGTCTTGCTGGATGAATCTAGTTCTTTAAGGTCTTTGGCTTGTGCTAGCCACACCCTCTTCGACTTTGACTATGTTGGGAATGTCAGCAACTACTCTGACTTTAACATCAATTGGAATATTGGTAATTTCTTTGACTTCGACTTCATCAGTTTCTTCGTCGAATCCATAGCTCATCAATGGATTGGTAATTGCATTATTGGAATTCAAATCCCAGACATAATTTTCATCAACCACATTATCTCGACTCAAGACAATCTTCTTATTGATTGCATTGAATAATATGTATGCACCAGTTTTATGATATCCTACCAGAATCATATTTTCACTTTTGTCATCAAACTTCCTTCTTATTGCATTAGGAACATGCTTGTAACACATAGATCCCAACATGTTTATATTACTCACTAATGGTCATTTTCCACTCCACACTTCTTCAGGAACCTTGTTGTTCAATTTCTTAGTAGTGCACTTGTTCAGAATATAAACTGCAGTCGAAACGACTTCATCCCATAAAGATTTGGCAAATTCTTCTGCTTCAGCATGCATCTCGCCATATCCAATATGGTCTTGTTTCTTCTTTCTATAATTCCATTGTGTTGAGGCGTATAAGGAGCAGTTACCTCATGATAGATACCATGTTCGGCACAAAAATCTTCAAACATCTTGGATGTGTATTCGCCACCTCCATCTATTCGTAGAACTTTGATCTTCTTCTCACTCTGGTTTTTGAAAAGTATCTTGAATCTCTTAAATTTTTTTAATACTTCATCCTTTCGCTTGATCACATATATCTAGAGATTTCAACTAAACTCATTGACAAACGAAACAAAATATCTGTTTCCACCAATGGTATGTTCTTCAAATGGGCCACACACATATGAATGTACCACTTCGAGTATGCAGGATAATCTCATTGGCATAGTCGAAATGAAGAAATTTATGGATTTCTTTCCGACTAAACAACCTTCACAGAGTTTTTCGGGCATCTCAAGACTTGGGATATATTTACCATATCTTGAGTAATCATTTTACTGAGTGACCTAAAATTTCGATGGCCAAACCTCAAATGCCATAACCAGCTATTCTTGTGGTTAACAACTGTTTTCATACATTGTACCTCAGTTGAACTGATCAAGGTCTCAAATGTCTTGTTCTTTGATTGTGGAGATTTCAAGACCAAGTTATTCTGGATTTCGAAAATTTCTAATGCTCCTTCTTTCATAACCATTGAGAACCCCTTTTCGACCAATTGTCAAACACTTAGCAGATTGCACTTCATTCCAGATACATAAAGAACATATTTGATCTAAGCTTTAGCTCCATTGCTCCTTTGAATAACAATGTCGCCAGCACCTTCTGTTCATAACGAGATATTATTAGCAAGTTTAACCATGCTCTTCTTTGACTAGTCGAAATCTACTAACCACTTCTTTCGACCAATCATGTGATTCGAGCATCTAGAGTCGAGGAACCACATCTTGGATTCGACATGGTTATTTACAACTGTAACCATAACCACCATACCTTCAGAATCATCTGAATCTTGGTGTGCAAGGTTGGATCCTTCATCCTTACCTTTTATCGATCCCTTGTCTTTCATGTACCAACAATTATTGGCCAAGTGACCTCACTATTCACAGTTGTAGCACTACACACCTTTTTCTCTTCTTTGTTTTTTTGATAGGAATTTCCTTCTCCGCTTTTTGAGGATTCAGAAACCATGTCATCGACCTTATTATTATGAGGATTTGACCAAGACTTCTTGCCCTGAGTCTTGTCGAATTTTCCTTTGAATTTGTTAGAACCACCATTCTTTTTCCATGACTGAGCATGTAGTGCTTGTATTGAGTCTTGAACTCCTTTCCTTTCGACAATCCTAATCTCATGTGCTTCCAATGTACCAACCAAGTCTTCTAATATTAGGTTTCCAAGCTTGTCAGATTCTTGAATAGCTACGATAATATGATCAAAGTGAGAGGTCAACTCACGTATTACTTTCTCAACTATCATCTTATCAACTAAGATTTCACCATAACCCTTCATGAGATGGATGAGTTTCTGCACCTTCGACACATAGTCTGCAATCTTTTCGTCTTCTCCCATCAACAACAATTCATATTATCGTCACAAGATTTGCAACTTGACAACCTTGACTTTCTCACCTCCTTCATAGTACATGACAAGAATATCCCATGCCTCCTTCACCGATTCAGCATGATAGATTCTGTCAAAATTCTTCGTGTCAACCTCCATTTGAATCTAATACACAGTTGTGATACGGTGGCAGAACCGACTGTTAATACTGGTTTGCATTTATATTCACAAATGTTGCGGTAAGCAAGAGTCGCCATCGACTTATCTTTTATCCAACAAAGGAAAGGGTGAAAAGAACAGAAAAAGACCTTTTCGAGAGTTTTCGAGTAAGGGGGGTAGATTATGGAAAGGGAAGGTGTTAGCATCCTTTCCATATGTGGTTTTCACGGGGTCTTAGAGGTTTGCTCATTTTTTAAAATACCTTTGTGCTTTGTGTTTGAAAATGTTTTGAAAATGCCTTAGTGAGGAGATTTGCTTTGCGTTTAACTCTTGCATCAATCCTCAAGAGTGTTAACAAAGAAAA